AATAAGCATCGTATAATAAATATATATATAATATATGTATTTGATTCAATATACATGCATATATATATACTCAAAATATATATACATAAATATATTTATACATACATTTATATATATATTTATTTATTTAAATAACTTTTCATGGATCTATATATTATATGAAATAAACCTAAAATGTGATAAAAGTTATTTATATAATATTAAATAAAAACTTTTTTGAAGAATAATATTAATTATAATTACTTTTTGTCACAGAATTAACGGGAGTTTTATGAAAGATAACTCTCTCAAATTTATACCGCGTTTTTTTTTTGTTAACGTATTATTTAAAAGAGTACGAAAAATGAGAAAAACAAACAAATATTAAAAAATTCTATGTATATGATCAGATATTGTAAGATGAAACACGTATTTTAAAATGCTTTTTTGTTAATTGAATTTGAATAAAATTAAATTTGCACATTGTAAGTAATGCTTGTCTGTCAAATAAGCCCACCAACTGACAAGATCGAACAAAGATTGATCGTTCTGTTGAGATTAAATTCAACGTAATATGAAATTCGAAAAAAAAAAAATTTTTGAATTTTTCGACTCTCAAGTATCGAATCTTGAACTACGATTTATTTACAAACATCATGTACAGCAATTATACGGACTTATTATAAGTTATAACATATTAATTCGTTAAAAATTATTTATACCATGTTTATATGATTTATTCGATAATAATTGTTCTGAAAAAAACAAAACACATATTTTCGTTGATAAATTACTTGAGAAAAGTATAAATGATTTTTTTTTTTAATTTATATCTCGAGTCTTGAGTTTAGTATCGATTATTTGAAATACATCGAAATTCGTAATTAAAAACATTAATTCTGATATTGGTAACAATAAGAATAAACTTTTGTTTTTATTATTAAATAATGTATAGAAAAAAAAAATAAATATTATTATAATATTTAAAGTTTCGTGTAGTTTATACTCAAAATAAATAAATTCATATAATTAACGGCTTTGTCGATTAAAATTATTATAATACATATATTTAATATATTTAATAAATATATATAGTAATGTTTTATATTTAATTTAAAATTTTACATCATAAACATAAGGTGTTTAAAAAGGATAAAGTAACACAAGAAAGAAAATATTTAAAATATCCAAATTAAAATGTTATATAGAATAGTTTATTTATTTCACACATGTTATAATTGTATTTTTTACAATAAAGAATTTTTATAAGAATATAAAAGCAAGCCCAACAAGTAAAATTACAAATCAAAGAATTAAAAAATGTTTTTCAAATTTTTTTCATACAATACCTTTTTTTTATTTTCTAAGTTTTATATAATTTATATATATATGTTTCTATAATTTGTTCTTTTTAATAAAAGACAGTTTTTATATTTGAAGATGATCGTACATTAATTATTTGATAGAAATATATTATTATTTAATAATATAATTTAATATAATTAATATATTTAATAATATATTACAGATATTATAATAAAATTATAATTTATAATGTAATTGTTATAAATATACAAATTATATCTATATAATTAATGACAATATTAAATACATTTATATAAACAATAATTTATATAAAAATATATACACAATATATAATATAATTTACATAATACTTTAACCCTCTAAGTGTATAATTAACATAGAAGACATTTAAGTCTTTTAAACAATAATACGATTTATATTGTCTTTTTTTTATATTCCTATCTTTCCTTCTTAATTTTAATCTGATGATGAAGAAGAATCAAAAACTTTTCTCTTTTTTTTTTGTGAACTATCTTCTTCTTGTGAACTATGTGTTTCATATGAGCAACCTGGATCGTCTAAATTAACTATTTTGGACTCTGTTGCTTCATATGACCTTTTTCTTAACCTACTTGCTGCACTTTTTGGAACATCTGATTCATGTTTTGTCTTATCACAAGAAACAACTGATTTTGATTGTTCTGTTAGAACAGACGAAGAAGATTCTGCCAATTCAATTTCTGATTGAGTATTCACTTCTGTCAAAAGATGTGACACTTTAACCTCCACTATTTCTCCTGTATCCATTTCTTCATGTTCCATATCCCTTCTCATTCTTTGATTTTGTGTATCATCTGAATCATCTGTTGTTTCAGCATAAGAACTAATTGATTCTGATTGTTCTTGTGAAACCTCTTCAGACAAAGAAGATTCTTCCATTTGAACGTCTAATGGAGTAGACACTTGTGGCGAAAAATGTGAGAATAGATCCATAGAACTTTCAACATCCATTGTTTCATCTTTCTTTTTTAATGTCAGTTTTGGCGGTGATAAAATAACTGCTTTTCTTGAACTAGCTACTTGTTGTGAACTAAATTCTTCTTGTGAAGTAGATACCATTTGTGCCTCGTATTCTAAACCAATTTTAGGTATAATTTTTGTCTCTTTATCTGGCAGAGTTTCATGAAGTGAAAATGTCGAGTCAGTGCTTGATGAAGAAGTGTCATCAGTACTACTGTCTAATATTAGTTTTTTAGGTAACTATCATATCAAAAGAAATGATTTTTATTATGAAAAAGAAAAATAAAAAAGAAAAAAATTTCAAATCATTCAAAGTATAAATTATTACATTTACCTTGCTTTTTTTATTTAACATTTTATGATATCTTTTTTTACATATGTCTGTCATCCGTAATCTCACCTTATTGTCTAAAGAACATTCTGAACCACATAAGTCTATATCTGTTTCATCAGAGATTTCACTACTTTGAGGCGGCTTTGAGTAAAGTTTTGGCTGATATTAAATCATTTAAACTTATTACATTTAAACAATTATTTTCATACCATTTGTTATCTATTTTATGATGTTACCTTTTTTTTTGGTTTGTCTGGTGATCTCCATTCTTGAGAATATGTACCCTCAGAAATTGGAAGAGTTGCCATTTGACTTCCCCCTTCATGAGAACTTCCCTCCTAAAATGACTCCTGGTAAGATGTTGAGGGTCTAGACTAATGTTTTAATTTAATATCAATTAATATTTTTCATATATTACTTGATTAAGAACAAATGTAATATATTACTTCGTCATCGGATGAAGTTGTAATTTGCATTTCTTGATTAGGATCCATCAATAATTGACATGTATTTACATGCTCGTCTATTTGAGATCTAGGAACCAGGTGATTGGGATTATTAGGACACTGAACAAGTTCTTCGTCTCTCATCTTTATTTAGAAAAAAAATAAATTAATAAATTAAAAATACAATGAAATATTAATAAAATTATAAAAATGAAAATATCGTAGATAATATTAAAGAATTACCTTCCCTAAAAATTGTATAAAATTATAAGATATATATATATGTATATAGTTGTTTATTACACACTCTGTTTTTTAGGCTTTAAAAAGACCAATAAACATTGTATAATAAATAAATATATATATATATAATATGTATTTGATTCAATACATGCATAGATATATATATATTCAATTTATATATACATAAATATATCTATATGTATAAATATATATATATATATATTTATTTAATTAACTTTTCATGGAWCTCTATATCATAAAATAAACCTAAAATGGTAAAAGTTATTTTAATAATAATAATTGAAAACACTTTGCAGAATAATATTTAATTATAATTACATTTGTCACAACATTAACTGTATTTTTATAAAAGATAACTTTCTTAAATTTACACCTTGTTTTTTTTTTTTGTAGACATATTATTTAATAGGTTCAAGAAAATGCATGAAACAAACAATATTTAAATAGTTCGATATTTATTATCAGATATCATAAGATGAAACAGGTTGTTGAAAATGCTTTTTTGTTAAAGGAAATTGAATAAAATATAATTAGCACATTGTAAGTAATGCTTGTCTTTCAAATAAGCGCACCAACTGACAAGATCGAACAAAGATTGATCGTTCAGTTGAAATTCAATTGAAAATAATAATAAATTCGAATTATAAAAAATTCTCGAAATTTTCGACTCTCAAGTATCAAATCTCGAGAAACGATATATTTACAAAAATCATTTGAGTATAAGGTCATATTACAAATTATAACATATTAATTCGTTAAAAATTAATTATACCAAGTTTATATGATTTCTTCAATAATAATTGTTCTGAAAAAAATAAAACTCATATTTTCTTTGAAAAATTACTTGGAAAATGTATAAATTATTTTTTTTTTTTTCATTTAATTTATATCTCGAGTCTCGAGTTTAATGTCGATTATTTAAAATACATCGAGATTCGTAATTAAAAACATTATTTGTGACATTGTTAACGATAATAATATAAACATTTGTTTTTATTATTAAATTAAAGTATAGGAAAATAGAAAAACATAAAACATTATTATGATATTTAAAGTTTAGTGTAGTTTATTGATAGATATATAGATTAATTTATTGTTTCTCCGAAGGGTTACACTCCTTTTACAATTATATCCTTAACCTATCTTAACACTACCCTCTCCCTTATTTCCCCTTCCTCCCTTCCCCTTTCACCCGTTCCAAACCACCACTTCATTCTCCTTTATTCCCAACCTTGTCTCTCCTTCCTCTCTCTCATACTCCCAATCTTCTTCATCCACTCCTCCCCCATTCCACTCTCATCCAAAATTTTCTTTATCCTCTCTTCCACTCCTCTCCCGTCCTCCTCACCTATCGCTCTACTGCAGCCCTCCAACACATGTTCCCATGTCTCTCTCTCCCATCCACATACCCTGCATCTTCTCTTCTCCTCCTCCTCCTAGTATCTCCCTCCCTCATCTCATTCCCCAATCTAAATCTCGCCACTCTTCTTTTCCTCTCTTCACTCCACTTTCCTACCCAATATCCTGGCACCCCTTCCGCTACCACCATCTTGAACCACACGTTATACCTGGAATCTTGTATTTGCTCCCATCTCTCTACCTCCTGTCGACTTCTTTCCTCCTTCTCAATCTCTTCCTACCTTTCAACCACCTCCTCCCTGCCCTGCGCTATCCTCTCTTTTTCCCATTTTGACTTCTCTACTTCCTCCTCCCGTTCTCTCTCCTGCGCCTCCTTCCAACACTCTCTCGCCAGCTCACTTCCCTCTCCTCTCCTTAATTTCTCCTCGTACTTCCACGCTCTCTTCGCAGCCTTTATTCCCAATTTGTCTCTTTTCCCTTCTTCTCTAATCATGTATCCTGGTGTCCTCCAGTCTACTCCCAGCGTCCACCTCAAAAACCTTTCCTGCACCCCCTCGATCTCCTTCCTCTCCTCCCACCCCCATATCTCCGCTCCATAGCTTAAAACCGTCCACACCAGTGTATCAAAGAGCCACAACCTCCTCACCCAATCCTTGCCGAACATCCTCCTTCCCAATCCCCAAACCTGCCTCATTGCGACCCCTGCTTTCTTCACCCTATCCTTCACGTGTGCATCCTGACCTCCATTCTTTTTAAGCACATAGCCCAAATACCTGAATTCCTTCACCTCCTCTATTTTCTTCCCCTTTCAATTCCAGTCAATTTCTCTATTTCTCCCCCCTCCTCTCCTAAATCTCACGATCTTCGTCTTCTCGACATTGACCTCCAATTTCTTCCTATCACAGTATCCCTCCATTCTCCTCAGCATACTCTCCATTTCTTCCTCTCTTTCCGCCAACAAAACCACATCATTTGCATATGCTAGTGAGCCAATCCTCCTCCCTCTCACCTTTACCCCACCCCATCTTCCTTTCATCACTTCCTCCTCTAAGTCTACAATCAAAAGGTTAAAGAGCATCGGACTCATTGGGCACCCCTGCCTGACCCCTCTTGCTGTCCAGAATCTATCCCCCTCCTCCCCCCCCCCAGCCTTCACCCTACTCGCCGTTTCATTCAGCACTTCCTTCACCCTTTCTCTGAGCCCTTTTCTTATCCCTCTCTTCTCCATCCCCCGCAGCAGCACCACCCGATCCACCGAATCAAACGCCGCCTTCAAGTCTAGGACGCCACCACCAGCTTCCCCCTCTATTTCTTGCCTTGTCTTCCCATAAGATAATTTAATGTAAATATATTATCTATCGTTCCAAGGCCTCTCCTAAATCCTGTCTAGTTCTGCGGCACCAGTCCCTTCCGCTCCACCTCTTCCTCAATCCTGCCCGCCAGGACTGCTGCGTACACCATATACAGTGACGGCATGAGTGTTATCCCTCTATAATCCATAGTGTAGTTTATATTTAACATAAATAAATTCATAAAATTAACGGATATGTCTAATTGAATTAATATAATATATACATTTAATAAATTTATTTAATATATAGAATAATATTTTATATATAATTTAAAATATTAAATCATTAACATAAATTGCATGAAAGGAGATGGTAACTCAGGAAAGAAAATTATTTAAAAAATCAAATTAAAATATTATGTAAAATAATTTATTTAGTTCACACATGTTATAATTGTATTTTTTACAATTTTTATAAGAATATAAAAGCGAGACTAACTAGAAAAATTAAAAATTAAAAAATTTAAAGATGTTGGTCAAATTTTTTGTATTCAATAAAATGTTTTTATTCGCTAAGTTTCATATAATTTATATTATTTTTCTATATATATGTATATATATAAGCCCATTTATATATCTTCTTTAAAGTTGTTTCTATAATTTGTTCTTTTTAATAAAAGACAGTTTTTATGTTTGAAGATGATCGTACATTAATTATTTCATAAAAATATATTATTATTTAATAATATATTATAATTATTACATTAATATTATAAATTATAATGTAATTGTTATAAATGTATAAATTATATCAATTTAATTAATGACGATATTAAATACATTTATATAAGGAATAATTTATATAAAAATATATACAATATATAATACAATTTACATAAAACATTAACGATTTAAGTGTATAATTAACATAGAAGACATTTAAATCTCCTAGACAATAATACGATTTATATTGTATTACTTTTTATATTCCTTTCTTTTTATCTTTATCTTCATCTTTTTTTGACGAAGAATCATAACGTTTTCTTATTTCTAAAAATTTTTTTTTCCTTTGTGAACCATCTCCTTTTGATGAAGTATCTGATTTTGGTGGGCTAACTGCTATTGGTATATCATCTACATCGATATCCGTGTCTTCACTTGAGGTTTCATATGACCTTTTCCTTAGTCTACTTGCTTCTTGTGGAACATCCAATTGATGTTTTGTCTTACCAGGAGAAACAACTGGTTTTGATTGTTTTGTTGAAGAAGAGGTAGAAGGTTTTTCCAAATCAATCTTTTCATCTGTATCTTTATCTTTTGTTGAAGCAGTTTCAAAACGTCTTCTTATTTCGAGAAATTTCTTTTTCCTTTGAGAACTATCTGCTTCTGGTGAAATAGCTGACTTTGGTGATCTACCTGATTTTGGTAAATCACCTGAATCGATATCTGTGCTTTCACTTGAGGTTTCATGTGACCTTTTTCTCTGTCTACTTGCTTCTTGTGGAACATCTAATTGATGTTTTGTCTTACCACGAGAAACAACTGGTTTTGATTGTTTTTTTAAAGAAGACGTAGAAGGTTCTCCCGAATCAATCTTTTTATCATTATCTTCATCTTTTGTTGAAGCAGTTTCAAAACGTCTTCTTATTTCTAGAAATTTTTTTTTCCTTTGAGAACTATCTGCTTTTGGTGAAATATCTGATTTAGGAGATCTAACTGCTTTTTGTAAATCACCTCTATCGATATCCGTGCTTTCACTTGAGGTTTCATGTGACCTTTTCTTTAGTCCACTTGCTTCTTGTGGAACTTCTAATTGATGTTTTGTCTTACCACGAGAACCAACTGGTTTTGATCGTTTTTTTGGAGAAGAGGGAGAAGGTTTTTCCAAATCAATCTTTTCATCTTTATCTTCATCTGTTGATGAAGAAGAATGATAACATCTTTTTATTTGTAGAAATTTTGTTTTCCTTCGTGAACTATCTGATTCTGATGATATATCTGCTTCTGGTGACTTCCTTTCTTTTTGTAAACTATCAATATCCGTGCTTTCACGTGAGCTTCTGTATGATCTTATCGTTAACCAATCTCTCCCTCGTGAATCATCTGTTTCAGGAGTTGACCATTGACGATGAATAAGTGGTGGTAAATCTTCGTCTTCTTCATACAGAGATACAATAGGTTCTGGCGACTCATTTACTACTGAATGCCGAAATTTCCAAACATCTGATATTTCTTCCGACCACCATGCTTCTGGTGGTGGACTACCATCTTGTAGCAAACTACATTCTTGTTGTGAAATATCTGCTGGTGGTGACTCATCATAAAAGGTTTCACTAGGTTCTGCTACTATTATTTCTGAAGCATCTCTAGACAAGGAAGGTTCTTCTGTTTCAATCAGTCGTGAATTTGTCTCATCTGCAAAAATATGTGACACTGCAGCGTCCGTCGTTTCTTCTTTTTGCGATTCAACTTCAACTTGAATAATGACTTGTGATAAAGTATGTGACTCTTCAGTCTCCTTTTTTTTTTCATTATCCATTTCTTCATGTTGCTTTTTACTTATAATTTCTGGCTGGTGTGACTCATACGAATCATGTGTTGTTGCAGCAGGGAAACTAAAAGGTTGTGATTGTTGTTGTGGAACCACTTCTAACAAAGAAGATTCTTCCACTTCAACTTCTACTTCAATAATCACATGTGATAAAGTATGCGACTCTTCAGTTTGTATTTTTTCTTCAGTATTTATTTCTTCATGTTTCTTTTTACTTATAATTTTTGGCTGTTGTGAATCATCCGAATCATGTGTTGTTGCAGCAGGGAAACTAAAAGATTGTGATTGTTGTTGTGGAACCACTTCAAACAAAGAAGATTCTTCCGATTCAACTTCTAGTTGAGTAGTCACTTCCGATAAAGTATGTGACTCTTCAGTCTCCATTTCTGCTTCAGTATACATTTCTTCATGTTTCTTTTTACTTATAATATTTGGCTGTTGTGAATCATCCGAAACATGTGTTGTTGCAGCATGAAAACTAAATAGTTGTGATTGTTGTAGTGGAGCATCTGCAGCTAAAGAAGGTTCTTCCAATTCAACTTCTAATTGAGTAGTCACTTCTGATAAAGTATGTGACTCTTCAGTCTCCATTTTTGCTTCAGTATACATTTCTTCATTTTTCCTTTCCGTTGTCTTCTTTGGCTGTTGTAAACGATCCGAATCTTTTTTTGTCTCAGTAAGAGAACTAACTGATTGTATTTGTTGTTGTGGAACATCTGCAGCAAGAGAAGGTTCTACCAATTCAACTTCTAATTGAGTAATCACTTCTGATAAAGTATGTGACTCTTCAGTCTCAATTTTTGCTTCAGTATCTATGCCATCAGTTTTCTTTTCCTTTGTCGTCTTTGGCTGTAGTGAACGATCCGAATCTTGTTTTTTCTCAGTAGGAGAACTTACTGGTTGTATTTGTTGTTGTGGAACATCTGCATTTAGAGAAAATTCTCCCAATTCAATTTCTAATTGAGTGATCATTTTTGAAAAAGTAAGTGACACTTGAGCCTTATTTTTTTCTTCTGTATCCATTTTTTCAAGTATCTGTTCCTCTGTCTTTTTTGGCTTTTGTGAACGATCTGAATCTTCTTTTGTCTCAGTAGGAGAACTAACTGATTGTATTTGTTTTTTTGAATCATCTGCAGCCAGAGAAAGTTTTTCCAATTTAATTTCTATTTGAGTAATCCTTTCTGATAAAGTAGGTGACACTTGAGCCTTATTTTTTTCTTCTGTACCCATTTTTTC